ATTCTGTGGAAGGAGGACAATGTTAGGTGTGAGGAGGTTGTGATTATGGATTGCACTATCTCATGCAGATTTATATGTATTAATCGTGGGGCTGAATGGAATTATATTGGGGTCTATTGTAGGAGTGATCGGGAGGAGAGGGGGTTATTATGGAAAGAATTGTCAGAATGCATGAACAGATGGGGGGGGAAAAGGATCATGGGCGGGGGCTTTAATATGATTCTGATAAGGGAGGAACGAAGTGGAAGCAATTTCTCTTCCTTGGAAGCGGAAGCCACTGAATTCAATGAGAACATTGAGCTATTGAATCTGATTAATATTCCTCTAGGTGGGGGACAATGGACATGATCTAACCTGACAAGCAGGTCCAGAGTTGATTGCTTTCTGATTTCCTTTTATTTGCTTTCCCAAATGGGGTGAGGGGGTGTGCCAAAAGACCCTCCAGAGGCACATTTCCAATCACTTTCCAATTTGCTTGGTGATGGATGGGATCCAATGGGGCCCTGTGCTGTTTAGATTGGATAACCGGTGGTTGAAGAAGGAGGATAAATTTAAATCCTTGGTGGAGCATGTATAGACTTCTACTTCGGTGAAGGGCTGTGCCAGCTTTCGGGTTGCCCATAAACTCAAAGCTGTTAAGAGTGTTATAAAAGAGTGGATTAAAAAGGATATAGAAAAATAGGACGTGGATTTTAACAAAATCATGGAGGAGATTAGTGTTCTTGACATGAAAGAGGGTGATAGTGGCCTCTCGACTATAGATAGAGCAAGAAGGAATTCACTGAAAGTGAATTTGGCATCGGTTTTAAAAGTGGATGAATCTTCTTGGAGGCAGAAATCTAGGGAGAAATGGATCCAAGAGGGAGATCGGAATATAAAGTATTTCCACACTATTGCTTCGCAAAGGAGAAGAACAAATTACATTAGTGAGATTCAGGTGGGGAACGGAGTCATTAAGGGAAATAATGAAGATTAGAGAGGATGACAAAAATTGTTATGCTAAGATGTATGAAGAGCATTTTGTCCAGTGGTCTACTCTGGACGGGCTGAATTTCCAGCGCTTAAATGAAACTAGCATTCAATTTTTGGAGGCTTCTTTTTCTGAGAAGGAGACCTTGGAGAGCCTGAGAGCTTCTAATGGGAGTAGAGCACCGGGGCCGTATAGTTTTAACTTGAATTTCATTCAAGAATTATGGCATTAATTAAAGAGGACGTAATGGGGATGTTTAAGATTTGCATCAATCGGGGAGGTTCGTAAAATCTCTTAATTCCATGTTTTTTGTTCT